TCCTTAAATATTGTGTGTGTGAACTTCATCTTTGCGAGTTTAAAGCTAAAAGCCCTGCGGTTGACTCGAAGTTAGAAACAAGAGTTGTTTTCCCATGAAAAAGTCATATTTCCCCTGCCGCATAAGTAGCAAGGATAGAGACAAAATGTTCAGGGGAGATATGAATAGGTACGTCAAATCATATTTTTTAATAGTTATTACGTGTATTATAGTTAGTGCCAGATTAAGCTTTTAGGGGCCCCCACGCAACATTTTATTGGGCCCCTTCATGTTGATACATTTTTGGATTCGGTACGTATGTTCGGATGTATGTTTGGATTCGCTTTAATGATTACCTTCGTGTAAAGAATTTATTTAAGAATAAATATAATTACTTTTTTAAACTTTAACAAGGTCGTATCTGGCTGATCATCGTTTACACGATTCGATTAATTATTTTAAGAGGTAACTTTTAAAATCAAATTGGAAAAACAAGTGTTGGGAGCCCCCAAAAGTTGGGAGCCCCTAGGCACGTTGAGGATGCTTATGGATCAAATTCTGATTCTGAGGATGAACCACTGCCAGTGTTTCACTGGTGTTACTAAAATGTCAACAATGCATAAAGAAGTGACAAGAATTTCGTGAAGACAAATTACATTAAAAGTTATTTCATTAAAAAATTAATGCTCTTCTTTTATAAATTTACTCCAAAAACTGTTCATATAAAATTCTACCTTGCAGACCTTGTCTCTACCCCGTATAGAGTATCTAATCTGGTCTATTCTAAAACTCGAAATAATTTAAAAATTGACTGCCTCACAAAGTAGCTGTTTAAACTAAAAATATCATTTTAAGATTAAATTTTTAAATTTTTTGTCATGCCACCAAGCCTAACATAAATGACCTCTTAACGTAGAAATGCCCATATAGCCCTATACCACCTACCAACAAATAGTTCTTTGGAATGATTTGGAGCCCCGGGTCTTGGAACAGTTTGGTCAAGACTGGGCTCCGTCACATTCAGCCAAATCAACGCTCTGGTTTTGTAAAGAGTTGTTAACTGGGTTTTGCGGCTAAGATGTTTGGCTACCACACTCACCTGATCTTGGAGAAAAATGAAGAAACGCACAGGATAAAATTACGGTAGAGCAGTATCATTTGGCAATTTCTAAAACACCTTAGCAAATGTATTGATTACAAGTAGCGCATTTTAAAAATCTAAATTTTACAATTTAAATAATAATAATATTAATAATACTGTTTTTCACCACATGAAAATCCATTTGTATTAACTATGGAGTAATTTTATGCAGCTAAAATGTAATACGAAATTCCGGGAAATCCCATCGCAATCTGTATATTATTTCGCCGTGACTAGAAGTACACCGGGAGTACCGCCATTAAACGTACATCGGTTGTATTTATATTAAACGTACACCGGGTGTATGTTTATTAGGAGTACACCGGGTGTATATTTATTAGGCGTACACCGGGTGTGTTTTTATTAAACGTACACTGGGTGTATGTTTATTAAACGTAAAATATAATATTTTACCTTATACTTTTCGCTTTCGTATTTAACAGCGCAAAATACTTACTTAATTTTTGTATTAGCTTGGCTACATTGCAAGGACAATTAACGCGTTTGTTTTTTTATTTAAATAAAAACCGAAAAAACTGTAATATTTTTTGATTGGAATATTTTTTGATTGGTTTTTCGAAAATGAAACTATCCATTTACCAATCTTTCCATAAAATTATGAAAAAAAAAAAAGAAAAAAATTATTATTAAGGTGCGGAGTTATTTATATCAAAGAAAAGTTTAATTGGATCTAACACAGCAAAAATTAATAAGTAAACAGATCCTAGTTTGGGCTACAGTGCATGAATTGTTAATAGGTAGGTATGTAATAAAATATTTCGAAAAAAGATCTTTATTAAAAAATTTATTAGGGTAATAAACGAAAATACACATTAAAATAATATGATCGAGTGTCAATCGCAAAATTTGCAAAACCACATCTTTTTTTTCGGCACTTTTTTTAAGCCTACGCAGCCGGTGTGGTACCACATCAAACAATTTTCACAAATAATTGAAGCAGGGGATAACTGCTTAGCGCATCTTGCACAAAACCATGGAAGTTTCGATTTTTCATTTAAAGTTGAAGTTATTTTTGACCAGGATAAATGTGTACAAAATTCTTCAATGATGCTAATATTGACATTATCATCTAATATTGAATGCGGAATGTCAATATTAATATCATCAGCCTCAATACTTCGATTTTTATTAAAAACTTCCATGTAGTATCTTGGAATTAGCCACTTAAGGATCAATAAATTTTTTTCACTTGAAGGTCTCTTAGCAAATGACTGTTTGCCAGAGGACGATTTCTTTTTTTTGGCAAACCAACCACTGTCATTTCAGAACCCTTTGGCCTTCCACGTTTTTTGTAAACTTTAGGTATAATAGTATTTTCCAAAATTGTTACTTGATCAGTAAATTTGCAGTTTAATATCTCATCATCACAATTATTATTTATTTTATTCACTGTATTTTTATTATTTTGATCACATTTGTTTTCAATATCAGCACATTTAGTTATCAGTTCATTGGTATAATAATTGTGTTCCTCACATTCGTTGTCAATATCACATTCAATAATCAGTTTATTGGCATTGGGCTTATTACCTTCAGTATTATCACATATTGTTACAGAGTGACTTTCAGGTATATCTAATTCTTCTTGATTCTCCCATGGTGGGACTTGCACTAGGTTACTAAATAAATTTAATTGTTCTTTATTTTCATCACATTTCTTGTCAATATCGGCACATTTGGTAAACAGTTCATTGGTATAATAATTGTGGTCATCACATTCGTTGTCAATATCACATTCAATAATCAGTTTATTGGCATTGGGATTATTACCTTCAGTATTATCACATATTGTTACAGAGTGACTTTCAGGTACGTCTGATTCTTCTTGATTCTCCCATGGTGGGACTTGCACTAGGTTACTAAATAAATTTAATTGTTCTTTATTTTCATCACATTTGCTGTCAATATTGGCACATTTGGTAATCAGTTCATTAGTATAATAATTATGGTTATCACATTCGTTTTAAATATCACATTCAGTTATCAGTTCATTGGCATTGGGATTATTACATTCATTATTGTTATCACATATTTCAGGTTCATCCGATTCTTCTAGATTCTCCCATGGTGGGACTTGCACTGGGTTACTAAATACATTCTGAGTCAACTCAGTATTTTGTCCTATGTCTACAATATCAATTAATTTATCTTCTAATAAAAAGTCTTTCAATTTTAAGAGTGCTTTAATTGTAATTTCATATTGGTTTCCTGATTTTTCGGCAACTAAGGAGCAAATATCTCTCATAATTAACATGGATTTTTTATATTTTTCAAATTTGTTTAATTTTCTGTTCATTTTCGAATTATTGGTTAAGTCAGTAATTACAACTGAATCAGTTGTGGCTGAATCAACAACTGAACAGTTAGTAAGTATTTTTTGATGCTTTCTCAAATGATCCTTAGTTCACCTCTTATTACACAATGATTCCTCATACAAAGGCAGGAATTGAGCTTCTCTGATAGAAAATATATGCCTAAAATATGATCATTAATAAAAATCGAATAAACCTCAAGACTTAAAAATTTACCGACAAGGCAGCATCACTGAAATAAATATGCTGCATGTGCAACTAATATCTGTAGCCATATAAGATCTAGTTGATTGGTTTGGTGAAGTGGTATCAATTTTTGTATATTCTTGTAATTCTTTTTGAACAAAATTAAATGCGTACTGACTCAGATAATTACTATAATGAAACTGTGGAGTATCTTTTTCAAATCTTGTTAAGGGAACTTTAAAATATTGATATGCAGCAGTATGATCTCTTTCTTCTGTCATCCCATTATAAAGTATAAAAAAGTTTTCAATAAAATCAGTGAGCGATGAATCTTTGTGTATCACTGACTTAAGTTTTTGATTCAGACTTTCCAAACGATTATTTGTCCTATTAAGGAAGCTATTTTGTAAAAAATATGTGTTCAATGTCCACTCCTTCTTTATTTTATGCCAGTTCTCATTATAATAATTAACGACTGGTGGTGGTAACTTCATGATTTCTTTATAAATTGCATCATATTCATTGTCAGTTCGAGAATACAAAATTTTTTGGAAAAGTTCTTTAGCTGTGTCTCGTTGTCCTGGTGTTATACCCAGTTTCTCACAATTCAATTCTCTTTTAAATGTTTTCAATGCATGGAAAATGCATATGATGACACTAGAATCAGGAAATTGGTTTTTGAAAACTTCTCTTTCTCCCATGTCCTTATCGCTCATTATAACACGATTTCTTTTCCATGATGGATTGTGTTTCTTGAAACAAGACACAAACAAATTTAAACTGTCTTTATCTTCAGATACTAAAATTGCAACTGCCCCAATTTGCGATTCACCATTAGAGTCTTCCAATAATATGATATAAACTGGTGTTCTAATATTGAGTAGTTTATAAGTTGCATCAACTGCAAAAAATTCTGGAAAAGCCTCAACAGCATTCATCATTTCTCTGGTTTGGAAGTATAACCCTTTAAAAACCATCTTTTCAACTAAAACTTCCGTTGTTGCTCCTAAAACAATTCTAAATTAATTGGAAATAATTTTTCTTGGATTTTTTTACCGTGAGTTTCCTTTAAAATTTCAATAATTGAGATTAGAGACTTATCTGCAGATTTATTACTGTACTGAATGTTTCTTAGATCTTTCAACAATATGACCTTATTGGTGTTGGACTCCATCATACATTTAATTTTCTTTTTATTGCCGCCAGCTTTTAGAAGTTCAGAAACTTTTTGTTTTTCATCTAAATTCAACTTTCTATTTTGAGGTAGATGTTGATGCCTTAAAATTTTAAAAATTATATCATGTAGTTAACCACTAAATGAGCCATAGGGAATAAGCAATGCCTCAACATTAGCAATTTTATATATATATATATATACAAAAATAATTTTAAAATTTAATCATCAAATCATGGCCTGCTCGATTCTCACATAGCCTAGAATAAGATGAAATAAGCTATGACCTCCACAAGCCTACAAATATGTCATAACACGACGTCATTATGACCTTTTTGACGATTTCTACAAACAGAATGGATTGAAATACATTGAAACCTAACTTAATAGTAGTTAGAAAATAGTCCCTAGAACTGTTACTTCATAAATGTTATTACATGTTAGTAACTTTTTTTATTACATAACACTTCTCTTTAATTTGTTTAATTTAGCGTTTACTATAAGGAAGGCCATAAAGGCCAAATCTCATTTTTAAAAGCTGAGGCTATTAGTCACATTAAGTTCTTCTTTTAGAATTGCAAGTGGTGAGTTATCTTAGACAAGATTTTGCCATGCTGATTCCCTGTTTCATTTAGCCATGACCACTCTGTATAATGTTATGGTGCATTTGCATTTTGAGGTTTTTACTTTTGTGGTATCATGATTATGATTGTTGTCAATCGACATAATCTTTAAAGAATTCCCATCTTCTGACGCAATTAGTCTTATGTAGGCTGGACACCCTCTTTGAAAAGTCCTAAAAAATAATATGGTCATTGAGTATTGCAACCCTGTTGACTTCGTTTCAGTGATTTTAAAGTTTTAGGTTGTGAAAGATTCAATTGAAGGGTACTTTTTATTATAAATAAAAGAGTTAGCTTGTCTTACCTTGCTTTACGGCTGTTGTCTTTGGGTGTTTTCTGTTTGTTTTTTCCTCCATGAATACAGCAGTAGAGAACTTGATAAGGTAAATCATCTCTTATGTGTCTACTTACACCCTTATTGCGGGCAGATTTAATATTTGTTGTGCTTCTTTTATAAAAAACACAATTTTGTTCTGTTTCATATTTTTTCAATTCAACATGAAATTCACTAATACTTTCAAAACAATTACCGACTTTTAACATTATTACAGATGGTATTATTATTTACTGATATTTCAGCTGGCAAATAAGTACAACTTACATTATATGTAATACATATATTTCTCAAAAATTTAAGTGTACCAATTTAACCCATAGAAAAAGGATATTTAACCTCAACTAATAAATACCCAATTTCACCATCAGCTGGTATGGAAACACGCATGCGCACAAACCTGATGTACTTTTAATGGAGGTACTCCCGGTGTACTTCTAGTCACGGCGATATTATTTACTAGTTTGATTATTTTTTGATATATGCCTACAAGATAATTATCGCCTGATTAAAGCTATAATTGTCTACTAGGAATCGATAATTCCATTGTATCTTCGTATCCATGGCAATTAATAAAAATAACGTCAGTTTTTATTTTAATGTGACAGTTATTTAAAATGTCACGTTTTGGTAAAGAATCATTTGAATCAATTAATGAAAATGTGAAAATAATGTTAAAATATTTGAAAATGTTATTCCTTGATTTAATTAGTTTATTCGTGTAATTATCTAAACAAATTACACTAGTGCATACAAATAATCAGATAATTTTGCGGGCTTTTTCCAAAATATGAAAATGAACTCATGCATTTTTTAGTCAATATGCTTTTAAGCAAAATTATCGATAATTTTTAAGCACTTGTGTAATTCCCCCGATAATTACCCTCTTATATATGCCTACAAGAGAATTATCGCTTGATTACAGCAATAATTGTCTACTAGGAATCGATAATTCCATTGTATATAGGTACGTATCCATGGCAATTAATAAAAATAACGTCAGTTTTTATTTTAATGTGACAGTTATTTAAAATGTCACGTTTTTCATAATTATTAATTTTTTAGTTAACATTTTAATAATTAAAATAATAATAATAATAATAATTATTCTTTGTTAAATAAAGTTTGGTGTTGAAATTAAAATATTTGAAAATGTTATTCTTCGATTTAGTTTATTCGTGTAAATCTATAGATTTATTTTAATGTGACAGTTATTTAAAATGTCACGTTTTGGTAAAGAATCATTTGAATCAATTAATGAAAATGTGAAAATAATGTTAAAATATTTGAAAATGTTATTCCTTGATTTAATTAGTTTATTCGTGTAATTATCTAAACAAATTACACTCGTGCATAAAAATAATCAGATAATTTTGCATTTAAGCATATACCCCTTTAAAAAATACATTCGGTCATTTTCATATTTTGAGGAAAGAGCCCTTCGGTGTCGGGCTCTTTCCAAAATATGAAAATGAACTCATGCATTTTTTAGGCAATATGCTTTCAAGCAAAATGATCGATAATTTTTAAGCACGTGTAATTCCCCCGAAAACAACCTACTTTACAATATTTTCGCAAAAATTATATGACAAAACAAAATTCTGTAATAAACGTTAACAAAACTACAACTTTTAATAATCGGCCGTCAAACGCGTATGTTACAAACGAGAATAAGGCCGAAAAATGTTAAAAATATCGAGAGAGAAAAATTTGGAACGATTTGTTGTGTTGTTGGGTGTTTTTCGAGGGGTTGGGTTTTTACCGATTTCCCAATAAACAGTGGAAATCCGATTAAAGGAATAAATTGCATACAGTGCCTGTAAATATATAATTTGCACCCATAAGATTCAATTAATACACATTTTGGTTATGATTTACGTGAATATTGTAAACATTTGAAGTCAGTAAAAATTATTAAACAAATAAGTCATCTTAATTTAAGCAGCATTATGCAATATTAAAAGCGTATTTTATTATGTATTATATATAATATTATGTTGCCATTGTCAGGTTGGCACAACTGAATCCAATGTATATAAGGCCGCGCAGTAGAAATAAAACCAGTTACCACTTTACACTTGTAGTTTTATATACCAACCTCACATGGCGCTGTGAACACGATTAATAACCGACAATTTTTGCATTTTCGAGGTTAGAACTCGCACAAAAAATTTCTCCATCTTGGGTTTTCAACAATTTTCGAAGAAAAATGGATCTTAGAGGTATTCAACCGATGAAAATGGAAGGCAATTGCTCTGAAAATTGGACCTTTTGGAAACAAAAGTTTATAAATTACCTCCAGGCGACAGAAATATGCAAGAAAGACGAATCAACTCAGTGTGCTCAACTACTCGCATTAATAGGAGATGAAGGCATGCGAATTTTTAATACATTTAACTTTTCGCAAGAAGAAAAGGGTAAAATAAAGCCTTTAATTGTTAAATTTGAAGAACATTTTGTGCCAAAAAAGAATCTCACTTATCAAAGACACCTTTTCTTGTCTCATAGACAATCCTTTGAAACAACGGAACAATTTATAACTGATTTAAAGAATCTCGCATTGTCTTGTGAGTTGGGAACATTGAAGGATGAGTTAACCAGGGATATAATTATTTGTGGAGTAAAAGATGACATCTTGAGAGAAAAATTGCTACAAAATGAATTTAATCTAGAAGAGACAATTAAATTCTGTATAAGCGTAGAAAAATCGAAGTCTAGGAGTAAGGAAATTACTAATGGAAGAAATCACAACTTAAATGTAGATAAGATCAAGGTTGGTGAAAAGTATTCAAGAAAAGAAGGTAATCTACCCCAGTTGAAGTATAATGCACAGAGAGGCCAGTCGAAAGCTTGTGGAAGATGTAGGAAGCAGCATCCCTATGGAAAGTGTCCAGCATATGGAAAAAAATGTGGAAAATGTGGACTAAACAATCATTTTGCTGTTTGTTGTAAAGTGGGTAACGATAATTTTAAAGTTTCAAATTTGTCTAAGTCTAATAATTTTATGTCCATGTCTAAAGATTTTAACTGTCAGTCTAACTTTAAAAAGTGTAATAATTTTAATAAAAGAGATCACACATTTGTTAAAAAAGGTTTTAAAAAGAAAAAATTTATAAATGTAGTTGAAAATGAAACTAATGATGATTTTTTGTTTATTGGTAGCATAGAAACTGAGTCAGAGCAGAGACATGGTGCAGGGCAGGTTGACACTGTCGATGAGGTGTCATGGGTAACTTCGATTCAACTAGAGAATCAACTGATTAAGTTCAAGTTGGACACTGGAGCAGATGCCAATGTTATTCCTGTAAGTGTTCTTAAACTGATTAATTTTGATTTAAATAAATTAAATAAAACAGAAACTAGGTTAACCTCGTATACAAAAAATGAATTGCCAGTCTTAGGTACATGTATCTTAAAATGTACATATAAAAATATTGAAAATCATCTTTTATTTCATGTGGTCTCCATTGAAAGCAGTCCTATTTTGGGACTTAAAAGCTGTTTAGATTTGAATTTAATTCAAAGAGTACATGCTCTGGATAATCAAGTCAATAGTAAAGAAAACTTGGATAAATTACTAAATAAATATAATTTTTTATTTTCTGGTATAGGCGAACTAAAAGAGCCATATCACATAGAGTTAAAAAAAGATGTAGAGCCTGTTGTAAACTTTTGTAGAAAAATACCTTTTTATGTGCAAGAAAAACTTAAGGAAGCACTGGATAATTTATTAAAAAATAAAATTATTGAAAGGGTTAAGGAAGGTTCAGAGTGGATAAATAATATAGTAATTGTAAAAAAACCTAACGGGTCTATAAGAATAGCTTTAGATCCTAAAGATTTAAATAAAGCTATCAAAAGGCATTACTTTAGAATTCCCACTCTTGAGGAATTAACTATAGATTTATCAGGTGCTAAATATTTCAGTACCCTAGATGCTACTCAAGGATTCTTACAAATAAAGCTTGATAAAGAAAGCTCCAAACTTTGCACTTTTGTTACGCCCTTTGGAAGATTTAAATTTTGTAGACTTCCCTATGGTATATCCAGTGCTCCAGAGGTTTTTCAAGAACGAATGCATAATATATTCTCTGATATCGAAGGTGTTAAAATTTATATTGATGACATAATTGTTTCTGGAAAAACAGTATCAGAACACAATGCACGTTTAGAACGCGTATTTAAAAAAGCTGCTGAATGTAATATAAGATTAAACTTTAGTAAGTGTCAATTTTTAAAAAATGAAGTACTGTATATGGGTCAGTCCATATCAAATCAACCAAAGGTTTTTCCCTCACCCTCTCCGATTTTAATAATTTTTGGTAAATTTGTTTACCTCACTAAAAAACTCAAAAATCTCAAATTTGAATTTTTTTCGATAGGTGGTTTTTGTTTTATTGATTTTTGAAAATCAAAAAATTACCGATTTGGGTCTTGCAAGTACTTACAAATATAGCGATATCTCGTAAACTATTAAACTTAGAAAGGTGAGTGATGGCTTATTTTAAAGGCCTATTAGATACCTTTTTTTTGATATATCACATGACCTAAATTTCTTTCAAAAAAAAATTTTTAATTTCGAAAAAAAAATTTTTTCTTAAATCTCAAAAATACCTTTTTTTATTTTTTTCAAAAAAATATATATTTTTTGTGCACATTTTGATAAGCTATGTTCAAAATTTCAAGATGGACACTCAACGGGTTCATGGTGAAAAAAATTATAAAGGAACTCACTAACATACAAAATAATATTTATGGGTCATTTTACTCCAAATAGTTGATGAGTTTGATTTTGTACCCTTGATTTTTTCACTTTTTTGCAGCCGCACGGTGGGCTGGCATACAAATATAACTGGACAAAATTAGTTAACTAATTTTGTCCAGATTTGTATCCCAGCCCAGCAAACATGGTGACGTCATAATCACGGCATTTTTTGGTCACAAGTTACGTCATATTCACCCTTAACATCACGTCAAAATCACGTCTTTAAAACGGGCAAATGTCACAGGCCGTTGACGTAATATTAGGACGTACAAACAACGTCATTTGCCGTAAGTACTGACGTCTTAAAGACGTACAATAGTTGTCATTTATTGTAATAAATAAAACAAGGAAATATATTATAAATGTCATATATTATAAAATATAAATAAATAAATAAAATATAAATTCTAAATAACAAACTTAATAGAGTAGACCCATCCCATAAATCGAACATTATGGATAGCTCGAGCTATCATTGGCTTCTTCACCATTTTTTAATGCCTTGTCGTATTTGCACTGTTGTTTATAAGGTGGCCAGTAAACTTCTTTTTTGCGAGGAGTTAGCCACTTTGTATTGATAGCGGAAATTCCCCCGTCATGACGCGTCACCACGTACGTTCGTCGTGTGC